TTCCAGCCTCATTCACGGGGAATTGAATATGCTATTGCCTCACATCAGACGCAACATATTTGGTATTATATCCCCTGATATTTCTGCTTCTATTATTCGAATATCCTTCAAATGTACGATTTCTCGACTTTGACGACGATTACTGGTGCATCGGTTGCAAAATAACAAAATCACAATAAAAGAATACAAATATAATTTATGTATCAAATTACCCACAGGCTTGATACCATCGGTATTGTACTTTCATCTCGTCTATGTTCAATATGTCCTTTATTTTTGAGCACTGTATGTTGTCCATTTAAGCATGCAGTTCGCCAGGTTGACTGTTCAACAGAATTGGCCAGCTTTCTCTAATACATTCCACACCCTAACCACTGACGACAACTGTTGAGACAGTTAACACATCCCTGTTTCTAACACGGGAAAGTTTGCAAATACATTCAAATCTCAACTGATGAGTGGTAATTGAATGAATTGGACCTTGGAATTGCCCCCTCGAGAAATGTGAAAATAAATGTGAAAAAATAAAAGTTGATGAGATCTAACCTTGTTCTACTACAAACCTCAAGCGAGAAGATATACTAACATTCGTCTGTGAAAAGTATGATCTACACGAATGCATTTCGAGAGTGACAGTTATCGAAAACCTGTTAATTGTGCAATACTTTGGGCTAATGCTCACTTCAAACCATTCGCACAAATATGGAACTGAGTCTGCGGATTGACGTGTTTCTGGATTTCATCTATAGGCCAAAATCTTTTGAATGCTTCATCTGATGTGGGTATGATGACACCAGAAGATGCTTATTTAACGAGCTACACACCTCAAGGTCAATTTTCGAAGTTCAATTTCTATGTTTCTTGGAATATATTTTGAGTTATTTCAGTATTAGAGATAATACGTGAGTTTTTGATGGTCACATAACTTATCAATTTATTTAAGCTAGAAAATTTTTATTACTTGGCTTATTTAGTATGCATTGAATGAAGACAGATAACCTATTTCGAATATGTGTCTTGAACGAGTTATTGTTGTTGTTGAATGAGTTTGATCAACATCTATAGACCCGGTGTTGCAAATGAGACATTTGTATGAAAACTACACCTTTTGGGTACAAGGTTGTGAACGAGCTGACAAAAGATAACCGGATACGCCTGCCTGACGAGCAACAAGAACTGTGAAACCGGTCGAGTGCGTACAGCCAGGGAAAACTTGTCGAATCATTCACATACTACTAATTGTTAAGTAGGTAGTAGTAGTGTAAAATAGGGAAATTACACATATATGAATGAACTGACAAGAGAGAGAGAGAGGGAGAGCACAACAACACGGCTAGGTCGCACGATGGCATGCCAACGCAGACTTCGCTACATCTCAACTAGGACAATATGGCAGCAGAAAATCACAGTTGATATTGTTGAACAGTACGTCGGAACAATACATCAAAAGATTATCAGATACGCGTGCCTGACGAAAACCACAAAACTGGGAGTTGGTTTTCTTTGGAAATGTTTTCGGTGATCATCCAGAATCTGATTATTATAAAATATATCGATCTTCATAGCAGTATACTATTGGTAGCAATGTTCTGAAACTATAATCGAGATGTTTACCTGACAAATACACCTTTGATTCCAATGTTTGAATGTAGTCTTTGATTCTGTCTGGTAATTCCAGTTACTTTTTCTGTTCCCACCGTATTGTTCACAGAAATTCACACCTACCGGTTTCTCAAATGCAGGTTTACAATGATGAGAGACTCATAGAAACCATTAGAGGCGCTTTCTTCTCCGTATCAACGGGTGAATCACATCGGTTTAGTATATCTTTCTTTCGGGTTTTTGTTCTCACTTGTTCAAATTTGAACATAACTAATCAAATCAAATTCAAACAACCAATTTGACCTAGTTTATGTCGATTCAGGTTGGTGTTTAGAACTGGTCACAGTGCATGCCGATTACTAAAAGAAACTCACCCATACCGATCTGTACTGATCATTCTTCAGACTGTATCTCTATGCACAACCCGTAGTTCATCCAACCAGCCATACACTAGACTAGAGTTTCACCCTCGTCAGAGCTCATTAGTAATTCAGGTCCAACGTGGATTTGAACTCTGGACCCTCTGTATGAAAGAAGTATTTTTTTTATCATAGTACCTATTGAAATTTGCTGTGATCAGAGCATCTATTCTGCATGCTATAATTAGGGTTGCGTTAAGCTTCTCGGTTGGGGACCCCAAAATGGGTCTAATCAGTGGTCAGGGTGAGCTGAACGTGTTCAAAACCATACGGGCTGGATGACGTAATATTTTTCTAGCAAAATTCAGTTAACGTTTGGTGATATATTCTCAATTTTTCGATTTGTTTTCTGCTACTCCTCTCCCTAGCAGTCGACCTCATGTGCACTGAAAGATAACATTTAGAAACAGCTTACGAGCATGTTAGTTTGGTCAGTTGTGCCAAGTGAGCTTAGCAAACCGGAAAACCATGGAATATGTGCCGCTGTGGGAAAGTCCTTCGTTTACTTATCGTAATTGAAAGGTTTATTAGAAAGATTTCACATGGATGAATATTAATAGTTTCTGGGTTTTCTTTCATGAAGTCATATAGATATAAGTTAACAGGAATTGGCCTGGGACTGAGGTACACATGGGTGACGAATCCAGTTTTGGTGATGAGGGTTCCAATAGGCCTCGTCTTCATGTGAGCGACTGAGGGCCGACAATTTCGTGCATATTTTACAAGGATACGTGCTTGAAACAATGTGTTGTTAGGGGAAACGATTTGGAACAGAGGTAGTAGTTACACAGACCCACCGCTTTGATTTACTCTTGCAATTTGGGTGGGCGGGTAAAGATATGCCATGTGCTGCACACACACACACATCATGTCACTCTAGACCAAACTGTCGTGCGAATGGTCAAGCTGTCAACAATTGATGTACGCACCCGTGTGTGTGTTTCTGTCTGTCTGTTTGTTTGTCTGTCTGTCTGTCCGTCTGTCTGTCTGTCCGTCTGTCTGTCTGTCTGTCTGTCTGTCTGCCTGTCTGCCTACCTGCTTGCAGTTGGCCTGCCCGTTTTCCACTGGGGCATAGTTTGAAAGCTGTCAAAACGATGGCGTGGAATCTGGTGGATGCGTCGTCCCTGGATGCGTCTGTACGAATACAGCAGATACATGATCAATCAATGGCTTTTGATCGACCGACAGACTACATTCAGATTGGGGACCTTCTTCATTCTCACAGATCGAATCCAGTAAATGCGGTTCCGGATGTTGTTTCTCTTGGATGTTTTCCTTATCCGAACTGGTAGATGACATGCTGTTTGAGTTGACCAGTGACCGGTTAAGTCTGGGAGGTGGTGAGGGTTGTTTTTTCTCGTCACCTGACTGTGCTAGTGACTGACGATCTGTGGACTGAGACTGGTGAGCATGAACGGTATTCATTTGACTGCCGGATTGTGGTGTTTGGTTCGTTTCGAGGTGTAACTGCGATTCAAGCCCCGGGCACGTGTCCTATCAATGTGGGTAACAAAATTACAAGAGATATTTTTGTCACGGGCGAAAACAAAATGCATCTGAATAAACTAAATTCAATTGAATTACTTCTCTTCACACTTAGCATAAACCTATCTTCGCATAATCGTTGTGTTGCACAGAAAAATATTTTGATTGAATAAGTTTTAATTTTCTGTTCGAAATGGACGGTTAGTTATTTGGAATTTTGACTGAACACCAAATTAGTTCCCCCCAAATGGCGGGGATGAGGCGGGGGTCGGGGGTGACCCTGATCTCCGAGGATCACAAACCAAAAGCGAATCGAAATTCTTTCAGCTAAAATGTGCGTTTCTGTAATCCGTTTCAAACAGTTTAGTTTTAGAAGCAATGAACTAAGGTCAACCATCATAATTTTAAGTTAAGATCCGTGTGAAGTGTGTGGGTGTGAAATGTGCGCATGACTATCACATTATTGTGCTGATTCGCCTATTTCTTGTGCTATTAATAATGATTACCGACCCTAAGGGATCGATGTTCGAAACCCAGTTGTCTTCACCCCATCAATAACTTTGTTGTTATCAGCCTACATTTGGTAAGTTGTTCGCCCCCCCCTGCCCCCGCCGAACCAGGTTTCAGAGTCGACCTTTTTTTTCCATAGCCATAACTAATGTTCCCTATTCCCATGGGTTTTTTTAATGTATACAGATCGTTCAATTGTGATATCAAAGACACTTCTCACTCCGGAGACAATGAACTTACTACTGCCGTATCATTCGAGATGAGAGCAGGAGACATATATTGGGGTATTTTTGTTGTTCTCGATGATGGTGTTGGTACCGGCGATGATCTTGATAAGTTGTTCACCTCTTGTTGATCCGTATTCTTCTTATTCGGATCGAGTATTGTGTCACTTTTGGACACCGGATCACCCAAGGTTTGGGTCTGTAACGCGGGATTTTAAATAAGCAACATCAGAACCAGAAAAAAGTAAATTCAATAAAGAATACACATATTGTGTTTTTTTGTGTGCATGGATGCTAAATGTCTGAGCAATTAAAGTTGACGTCTGTTGCCTTTTATTGTCACCTAACTCAGCCCTGTCGATCAGGCTGTTCTCATTCTGGGAGCCGCGAAAATTGAATAAGAAGTCAATGGGTAAACATTGTACAGTTTAAGTTTGGCCAATTTCTGTAACACGCACTGTGTCAATCCACATTCCTTTTGTCTGGTTCAGAGGTGGCAGTAACCGGGTGCAAACACTGACTGAATGTGATGGGTGACAGGCGAGAGTTACGTTTTCAGTGAGTGGTTGTGTGTGTGTGNNNNTGTGTGTGGTTCGGTGAATTACACTGATCCGGATTTAGACTTCATTTTCACGCACAGCCTTCAGTGAATCCAGCCTCCTCTGCACTGGAGATTGTGTACATTTGGGGTTTCACTCCCAACCTCTGACAGGCGACTGGCACACGATGCTCAAAATCATCCCCGTTCCATGCGAAAGGTTCGAGGTTCAAATCCCGAGTGAGACCTGAAGCACGCACTACTGGTGAACAAACCTCAATTTTGTTGTTTTCTGATCTATACACTTTTCCCATTAAGCTTGAACCAAAACCCGCAATACTTTAGCCAAGACCCGTAGTCGTTTCGCCTCGACGCACAAACTTTGGCCACACCCCAGCAGACCAGTCAGATCAAAAAGTATCGAAATATTCTGACTGCTGTATCGGATTTTTCAACAGCCCAACCATCCATGTAGATCCCTTTTAGTTTTATCAACCAATGTTCATCTCAGAGGATATCCACTGAAGGTGGCACTCCAGAAGAGCCGTCTCGACTGCAGATGCCATTCACTTGCAG